GTGTGCCCTTCCCCTGGAGGTAGCGGGGTCGTGAGAAGGTGTGGGAGCAAGGATCTCTGCGAATGGCCTTTGTTGCCTTAGCTCCATCTCAGGGCAAAGGCCCTGGAGCCCCCTTCTAGGACTTTCTAGCTCCTACCAACTTCCTGAGGCTTCTGAAGCCATAGGGTCCCCCATGAGCCACTGAGGGCTTTGTAGCAGGGCATGAGCACATGGTGGCTTTGGGTGGAATAGAGCTGGGCTTTCATGCTCTCGCTGGTGACAAGGGCTTATGGGAGGAAGCTACAAAACAAACAGTTTGTCACTTGTCGAGCCCATGACTGCTGTGCTGGGCCAGCTTCTGGTCTGGCAGCATGCCTGTGGCCCACAGGGAAGAGGATGTGCCCAGGGCTGCCCAAGGCACGCCTGCCAGAATGACACTTGGACACTTTTACAGTTCAGTAAGCACTGATCACCCATGACACCCACAGGCCATCTAGTGGGATCCTGCTCATTTATGTCCCCTCTTTATACACATCTTTACATTTTACCTTCTCTCTAGAATGGCATTCACCAGATGCCTAGTTTTAATTTGACTTCTCAAGAAGAAAGATGGGGTGGGGGCATGCCCAGCAAAAGAAAGCATTGCTATTCACGTAACCTTGGGAAGATGATGAAGTCTTCTGCATGCCTAGAATTCTCTTTCCCAGAGCAAATAACTTTCTATGATAAATATGCTGTAGGTTTAGCAAGAAACATACCCCCCCAAAAATAGATAAAAGGAAAAGGGTCAATATGAAGTTCCACCTTCAAAACATGACTTTGAAGAAATCAAGACATTTTATATAGGTTTATACAGGTGTGCTAAGAGAGATGATTTGTGTTTGGGCCACACGTTTGGCAAACCTTGCTCTTGCCCCAAATCACTTATGGTTGATCTTCCACAAAAAAAAAAAAAAAATCAGTCAAGGTCATCGGGTGGTCATTAAGACTCAATTGCATTTTCTCCTCTGAAATGTGTTTTTTAATAGTCTACTTGTGGTTATATTTGTAATCTGAAATGTATTCATTGAACTTCACTCCTGTGTTCAGGAAGCATTTAGTGAACTCCTTCTATATGCCACACATTGCCTGGCACACTAAAATACAGTGGTGAGGAAAACCCAGTCCCGCCCACAGGTCAGTGGGGAGCAGAGGGCGATCAGACGGACCCCCAGATACATCCAATCATGGACTGGCCAGTGCCGGAAGAACGAGGTGCGGGACAAGCCCTTGACCTCGGGCAGAGACTCACCGAAGTTTGTATTCATCCTGTGTCAGTTTTCAATTTGCCTTTTCCGTAAGAAAGAGGATGATAACTTTGGTCCAGCAAAGCTTTCCTGAGCTAGTACCTGTTACAGGGCAGGTGTTTGCTGAGAGCTGGGGAAAAAAGGGTGACCTCAGTCATCCCTCCTGAGAGGAAAGAAGGGCTCCTGAATAACAGTGTGCACATTGGGGGGTGAGGGCAGTGGTAAAGAGACATGCAGGGGAGTCTCGGAGCCCTGAGGGGCTCCCCTTCAGTGGCCTGGATGTCAGAAAAGGTTTCCAGCACATGTGGAGGTCAGAAGATGAATATAAGTAAGTGGCCCGGAGAAGGGGGAAGGGCACATGGCACAGCCCGGCCTGCTGGCTGTGGAAGGCCAGGCGAGAGTAGCCCGGGGGTAGAGTAAGGTTCACAGGGGAGAGGTGAGCGGGGCCGTGTGACCTGTCGGACAGGGAGTGGCTGGGGCGAGAGCTACAGATCTGTATGGGAGGTGGTTCTAGCCAGAGTTGGCCCCAGTGGGAACACCAGGATAGCTGTTCTGGGGTTGAAAATAGTGGTAAAGAGCAGCTGCCTTGAGCATCTCTCCCTGGCCCAGGGCACCTCCCAGGGCAGCCTCAGCCACAGCGGCCCCTCCTCTGGGGTCCCATGTGTTCTCATCACCAGCGACGAGAGGGGAGGTCTGGCCGAGCTGGGAATCCCAGATCCTCCATTAGCAGGACAGCCTCATGGATTCTTAAACATTGAAAAATCCCAGCCCTGATTAAGGCCACTATTTAAAGCTATATTACTCTCTGGAACAGCTGTAACAAATGGTGACACACTGGATGGCTTGAAATAATAGAAATTTATGATCTCACAGTCCTGAAGTCTAGAAGTCTGGAATCAAGGTCTCCATAGGGCATTAACTCCTCTGAAGGCTCCAGCTGAGAATCTTTCCTTGCCTCTTCCAGCTTCTGTTGGCTCCAGGCGTTCCTTGGCTTCTGGCTGCATCCCTCCCATCTCTGCTTCTGTCTCTGTCTTCCCAAGGGCTGTCCCCCTGTCTTCTTGTATGATCGTGTGTACTACTGTCTCCTCCCCTGCATTTTTCACCAAGAGAACGTCTGAACGCCTCCCCAGGAAGCTGAGGGATCTGGATAGAGCAGGAGTGAATGTTCAATGTAAAGGGGCAATCCAGGAGAGAGGGTTTCCGTTGAGACCACGCTAGAGGGAGAGCCCCCAACTGTGCCATGGACCCGTGCCATGATAGCCTGCCCTCAGAACTCTGTGTTAAAGTTGGGTTTTTACCCAGAGTCCAGCCATGACTGGGGGCCAGGATGCCCATAGTCTTTCATCCCACTAGGGGACTATCTTGTGACTTCCGGCAACTTGCCTTCCCATGTCACCTCCCTGATCTGGGCAAGTCACCCACTTGGGCTTGGAAGAGGAGAGTTCACCTCCTTCTCTTCTGTAACTGCAAGTGGGGCCTGGTGTCCACAGTGGTCAGAAGGTGCTGGATGTCAATAAGATGGGTGGTAAGTCAGTGGGGCGAGATGGATTGGGAACATGCCGGGGAGCTTGGGGCCATTAGTGGTACGTGTAACGCTCTATTTTGTAATTAGTGTTTAGCGGATTAGGAAATTTTAAGTGTTTAATACCAAGTAAATCTTTCTGGTTCAGGCAGTGATGTATGGGGAAGTCGCAAAATGCCATCAGAGGGTATTGTGAACAAAATGTCTCATTGTCTAGTTTTATTTTCCATGGAAGTATCTATCCACGGAAATCATAAATTATCTAGGACTTGGGGCCGAGGTTAGTTTTAGTGCCTAGCCCAAAATTGTTTTTGAGCTGTTTGTGGTGTTTCTAAGGAACCTGGTCTGTCTGCTGGTTCCTGAAACAGGAACAAAGCCACATTGGTAGTGGGACAGGCTGTGATACTCCTTTCTAAGCATTTTGTCGTGTTGACCCGTGTTGCCTTTCAGGTCAATCCCACCCTTAAATGTGAGGCTGTATATGGGGGTGTTCTGCATACCCCCTTCAGGACAGTGTGGGGAGGTTGAGGCCAAGAGAGGTCTGAGGGAAGACATCTTGCCCCTCTGCCCTTGGGTGCCTTTTATTCCCTTCCAAAGTTGCCTCGGGTGGCTCCTACGGGTGGCTATGCCAGCCTTGGGTCTGAGCCTGGGGTCACCAGCCGTGCCTGGTGTCCAGCGCGCCCTGGGCCCCCACTGCCCCCACCCTTGAGGCTCCCATCCCCCCCTCCTTCTCCTCCTCACTCCACCTTCCCTACCTGTCTGCCACTTCAGAGCCTGCATCACACTCTGGGCTGCTTGGTGGGAGCCCCCACCTAGAGCACAGACTCCCGAGAGCAGAGCCCCAGTGCCCTCCCCCTGCCCATCTCCACCCCAGAGCCAGACCAGGCCCCAAAGGGAGCCATTACTGAATCAGGTGGGACCACGGAGCAGGACCAAGAAAATGCTCCAGAATAAGATCGTAGTGATGACTGCACAAGATGGGGAATATGCTAAAAACCATTGACTTGGGGGCTCCTGGGTGGCTCAGTTGGTTAAGCGTCTGCCTTCAGCTCAGGTCATGATCTCAGGGTCCTGGGATCGAGCCCCGCGTCAGGCTCCTTGCTCAGTGTGGGGGAAGCTTCTCCCTCTCCTTCCCGCTTGTGCTCTCTCTCACTACCTTTGTCTCTCTCAAATAAAGAAATAAAATCTTAAAAAAAAAAAACCCATTGAATTGTACACTTGGGAAGGGTGGTTTCTTTTCCCCATGATCTTTTAAAAGTAAAAATAAAACAAACGTCTTCTACCTTGAAAAACTCTTACACGCACACACACACACACACACACTGAAGTGAGTGCTTTATATACACCAGTTCATATGCCAGTGCCCCCTCATGACAATCCATGATGGTGCCCATTGTACAGATGAGCAGACTGAGGCCAGGAAGTTATTGGACCACTCTCAGTCTTACAGCTGGTTGAGTGTGGGTCTGGTTTTGAATCTAGGCCGCTAGGCTCCTGGATTCCTGCTCTTAAATATCATGCATACGCCCTCTCAGACTATTTTCCTTGGTTGTGAAGGCAGATCATGCCAATGGGAAATTTATAAAACCCTAAATTTCTAAATTTCTAAAATAACTTAGAAATTTTGAATTAGCAATAATGTCACCACCAAAGAATTGCGGCTATTAATATTTTGCCGTATCTCTTTCTAGATTTTTCTCTGTGCTTACTTTGGTACCATGTTTCCCGCGGCTGCTAAAAATTCCAACATATGGATTACTGTAATTTACTGATTCCTGTCCTCTCTGTAGAACATCTTGCTTCCAACTTCCAAGAACCGTTTGATCAATTTCTCCCCTCTTCATACTTCTGCCATTCTCATACATGTATTTCCTTCATATTCAGGCCAAGGGTCACCAGACAATTCACTGGCAACTGCACAAGCTTTCACTCTCTCTCTCTTTTTTATTTTTTTGGTAGAATGATTTCAAAACCTATTTCCCCTGCCACGTACACAGATGAGTTCTCATCTTTCAAATGTGGTCATTTTGAAGTGAAAAATGTCTCCTTGGTATTTACAGTCCAAGACTCCTGTGACACAGATATTCATGAAAAAAGACACTGGTAGTACCTGCCGAGAGACAGCAGACACAATCATGAGATCCCCTTTAAAATAAATAGGAACTGTAAAAAAATAAAATAAAATAAATAGTAACTGCATTTCTCCCTGCCAGGTGAAATGGCTCCAACAACAAGAAGTTAAACGCAGGGTGAAGAGACAGGTGCGAAATGACCCTCAGACCCTCTATTTCAACGACCCCATTTGGTCCAACATGTGGTACATGGTGAGTAGGGTGTGGGCCTCGCTGCCCCCAGGGCATTTGCACTGCTGTGTTGCCGAGATGGCTTAATTTCCCCCCAGCAAAGCTAAATCCTCACGGCAACTCGAAACAGACACACTTCCTATCAGTGTGAAACCCCTACTTCAAGGCTGTGTAGCACAAACGTTCTTGTGAACGGTTTAAGAATGAGGTGAGATGCCCTGGGGGAGTGGTGGGGGAGTCTCTGGGTGGGGGAGTGATTTCATGCAAGCTTAGGACTAAGTAAACAGTGAAGACTGAGAGCCGGCACAGGAAGATGATGCCCTAGGAAAATGAAAGATTGCCAGGTGTGGAAAAAGCACAGGGAGCACTTCACATTTACTCTTCCTGGAAATGGGTGGGAGAAAGGGGTTGTCTGCTCTGTAGGGCACGGGGAAGTGTTTCCTCCTTATGTACTTAGGAACATCCCTGCTGGGTTTATGCGGTGCAGTGTGTCCATCCTACGCCACAGTGTGGCCTCAAGGAGTCCGTGCTGGGGGGCGGGGGGGCTTGTGTCTTCTGTGCATACAGCACTGTGGTGACAAGAACAACCGCTGCCGATCAGAAATGAACGTCCAGGCAGCGTGGAAGAAGGGCTACACTGGGAAAAACGTGGTGGTCACCATCCTTGATGATGGCATAGAGCGGAATCACCCCGACCTGGCACCAAACTATGTAAGTCAAGCCTAGGAACGTGCAAAGATATTCAACCATGCTAATCATTCAATAAGTACAAATTTTAAAAACCGTAAGGTGCCATTTCTCCCCCACCCCCCCCCATTATATTAAATGATACAGAAAACCATGATGGGGAAGGTTGGCGAAACACACTTCCCTCTGCCATCCTGGAGCCGGGGTTTGCCCAGAAGGATTGGTCCAGATGTTTGAGGAGTCACATGTACTCCTGAGGATGGGTCCTAAAGAATTCAGAAACTTGGGTGGAGCTGGTCATCGGACTTAACACGAGCAGCGTGAAACATGACACCATTAGAGCCTGGGCTCTGGACCCAGCTGCCTGGGTTTCTGTTCTGGCTCTGCTGCTCGCTAGCTCTGAGACCTCAGGCAAGTTGCTTCACCTCTGGGCCTCAGTGTCACCATCTGTAAAATGGTATCTCATCAGGCTATTGTGAGGATTGAATGTCTTTGTAAGTGTAAAGAGGAGAGCCTAGCACACAGTGCATAGGATGAAGGCGTTCAATATTCTAACAAGCCTACGTGTGTAACAAAGGTTAAGTTCACCCATGTCGTGTCTGTGTGAGAGACAATTATGCAGCCCTTAAAAATGACAGTGTTGAAGTCAACAACCCGGGAGAGCTTTTCTGAAGTGTTTTAAAAGGAGAATGTGAAATGATATGAATACCATGACTATGAGTATATAAACAAAGACACGAACATTAAAAATATAAGATAAAGGACATTCTGACACATACTACAACACGGATGAACCTTGAGGACTTTAAATGGAAGATGCTAATCATGAAAAAACCCCAATACTGTATGATTGTGCTTATCGGAGGCACCTAGAACAGTCACATTCTTAGAGACAGAAAGCAGAATGGGGGCTTGCCAGAAGCTGGAGGACTGGGGAGTGGGGAGTTAGTGTCTGATGGGTGCCAAGTGTCAGTTTTGCAAGATGAAGGGATGTGGGGTTGGAGGGTGGTGATGGTTGCATAACAGTGTGAATGTACTTAATGCCATTGAACTTTATACTTTAAAATGGATAGGAGGCTACATTTTGTCGGGTGTATTTTACCGCAATAAAAATGTATATAAGATGATAGTTAAGGAAGAGAGTACCAAGTATATGCTTTTCTCTACTTTCTAATAGAGGCATAAAAATCATTTAAAGCATGCTATGCCATTTCAGTCACTGAGATTTCTTTCTTAGGATTCCTATGCAAGCTATGATGTCAACGGAAATGATTATGACCCATCTCCACGCTATGATGCCAGCAATGAAAATAAGTATGTCACTTTGTCTCCTCCTTCCTTGCTTCCCTGGCCCTCTCCCTGCAGAATCACTATTGAACTGGCCCCCAGTAGGGATTCCAGAAAGGTGATGGGGCTGCCTGGCCAGTGTCTGGGGCTTACCCAGGAGCCAGAAGCCAGTCCAGGCACAGCCCTTCAGGCATAAGACGGCCTCTGTGGGTTTCGCCTCTTCCTGAGGGGTGTCACCTCTGCTGGTCAGCTAGAAACGGATATTTGACTAACATTGTTCCTGTTTACAACCTTGTGTCCGTGACCAGCTGTGTGAAGACAGCAGTTTGGGGGCACCTGGGTGGCTCAGACGGTTAAGTATCTGCCTTCAGCTCAGGTCGTGATCCCGGGGTCCTGGGATTGAGCCCCGCGTCGGGCTCCCCCCTCAGTGGGGAGTCTGCCTCTCCCCTCACTCATGCACTCTCTCTCTCAAATGAATAAACTCTTAAAAAAAAGACAGCGGTTTGGCCTGTTTGAGCACAGAGGTCACATGCCTGAGCTCTTTTGTCTCTGTCTGTGACCTTATGAGAGAGGTGGAAGGGGCGAGAGTGGTGTTGGATAAATTTGGATAAATCTGGGTTCAAATCCCAGCTCTACCATCCCTGGCTGTGTGGCTCCGTCTCAGTCTTAGAGACTTTCCCGCGGAGACCATGCTCCCTACCTCCCAGGGTTGTGGGAGGGGTGAGCGGACAGGTGAAGAAACTGTGGGGGTGCAGTCTAGATAGTTGTTTTCATCACTTTGCAAACGAAGGCAGCGGGGTCTGGAGAGATGAGGTGACTTGTGTGCTGTAAGTGACAGCCCTAGGGGGGTCGAGTCCAGCTTCGCAGACCTGGCCTTGGGCGTTAATTCGCTTTGCCCTGCCTGTCTTTTCTCTGTTGGCATGCCCCGTGCCCCGAGCTCTTACTGTTCCTCCAGAAATATTTAGAGGAAAAGAAAAAAAGCCCCTTCTTTTGTCTCCCAGCTGACACAAGGCTTGCCAAGGTGCCTTCTCCCTCCCATGTAGTTTGCTTTTCTGTAGATTCCATGGTGAGGTTCAAATACTGGTGCCCACGCCGTGCTGTGCAGGGAGGCTCAGCCAGGCTGATGCGTTCCACACAACAGAGCCCAGAGCTCCCCAGAGCCCATGGAGGCCCCGGCCCTGAGGCCTGCTTCCCTGCCTCACATCCCAAGGTCATGGCCCAAGGTGCCCTTCCTGCTCAGTGACGAGCATGCCTGGGGTGCAGGGTGCCTCATTTCCCAGCCACACATCCAGGGGGCAGGGAGGAATGATCCAGACAGGACACGGTGACCCGTGAAGGGCAGGCTTGAATCTGGGTGAGACATGGAGCTCCGTGACACTGGGGACAGCCCTGGCTGGGGGGCTGCATGAGGTCCACAGAAGGACGGATGACTCCATTCCAGAAGGCTAGCACGCAGACCCGGGGCTATTTTTAAAGGTGGTTTTAAATTTAAATCAATGATTCTAATCCCCGTGGACTCTTTTCAAAGATGGGCTGTTTAAACTTGCCTGTATTTTGGCCTCTCTGCTAGAGGAATTGCCTCGATGCAGCACATTGGAAAATGGGGTAATTACTGAAGAAAGCAATTTGTTTTACTGGTAATTTCTTCATAGTTCCCCCACTGCTGGTGAGTGTTCCAATTTAGAGCGTTCTTCCTCAGCTCCTGCTTAAGTGGCCGTGGAGGTGAGGGGAGGGCTGTCCCGAGGTGAGCATGCGGGTGGCAGGTGCACAGGGGACTCTTTAGTTCTCCTTCCGTCCTGTCAGCCCGGCGGATGTCTATGCTGCACCTGCAGTGTGCCAGGCAATGTGCTGTCAGTGATGCGAATGCATAGCTTGGGAGGAGGCCAGCCCCAGCGAAAGCCCCTCACTTCGTCCTGTGGTTATGGGGAAGAGACGCCCCTGAGCAAGTGCTCGCCCTGTGCAGGGTGGCCCGGAAGGCCTTATTAGCCTGCTGGTGTGGAGTGTGGCAGGGGCAGGACTGCCCAGGGCTGGGCAAAGCCGGGTCTGAGGCTCCCTCCTGGAGGAGCGAACTGGCAGGGGAGAGGTGGCGATGAGAAGGGCGGCAGGACAGAGGCTAACTGACTCTCCTCGCAGGAGACCTGAGCAATGCCCCGGATCCACTACTGATTGCTGGGCCAAGCCCTAACTTTGTTTTCTGCTTTGCCTCAGACACGGTACGCGTTGCGCGGGAGAGGTCGCCGCTTCAGCCAACAACTCTTACTGCATCGTGGGCATAGCATACAATGCCAAAATAGGAGGTAAGATCCGGGGGCACGCAGCCGGGGAGCTTCAGGGCCCGTGGCAGGGATGCTGGGCTGTCCCATCCCGCCAGGCTTAGCAGCTTCACCTCGGCCGGCCTTGGCCCTCTGTGTCAGACACCACCCCCACCCCCCACCCCCCGCACTGGCCTGCAGCCTGGTGCCAGGCAGCCAGCACCCTGTGACCCGGGCCTAGGGGCAAAGGAATTGCTCACTGTGTCGCCCGAAAAGCCGTCGGGAGGGCGCCCCCTTTCTCTTCTCTGGCCCTGCTAGTCTGAGGCACCACGGTCAACCAAACCGCCCCTCTGAAAAGGCCACGCTGGTTCCCTCCTGCTCATAGCCCCGCAGTGGCTCCCTGTCACCTCCACAACGGAAATCCCTGCTCCAGCCTGCTGGTGCACTTGTCCTGCCCCCGCCCCTCAGCTTTTCAGGGGGACCTTTGTTGTGGTGTCCCCCAGTCACATGTGGTCTTCCCAATTTAGGCCTGGGCTTACAGCATTCCTTCCATCACCCCAAAGCCTCTCCCCGCCTCTCTCCCTTCGGTTCCATGCCCACTCCGCTACTCCTTGGCTTGTTCACCACAGCGGGTGGGGGACCGGGTCTTCCGGGTCCCTGTAAGGAGCAATGCCTGACCCCAGGTGTTTCTGCCTCTCCTGTTTAACTTCTCCATTTATGAGTCAGGCTTCTCTTGCTAGGATAAGGCTTTAGAGCAAACAGTTACATGTCTTCTTCCCCATCTGAGCCTGGCAGTTTGACTATCCAAACTGGCGATCAACAGGTACTTCGAAGTATCAATTAGAAGCATTTCGTTGAGCTGGGAGCTGAGCAGGTGCATGCCATGGGCATGAATGGTCCTTGAGCATCCAGATGGCTTTGAGGCACCCCTGTCCTCACTTGGGACTCTCTCGGTTTGGAGGTGCTCATGCTCACTCAATGGGTGTGCTAGGATGCTGCCTTCCCAGGGCATTGTCTTCCCTGCTGCTTTGCCTTTGCTGGGGTGACTATAACCCCCTCAGGTCTCCTATGAGCTGCACAGGGGGAGAGGTTGGGTTCCCTGGATCACCCTGGAGGTTTTGATGAATAAATAACCCTAAGAAGTCTCTCCATAAACTGTAGGACCAGGCTGACCTGGGTACCGATCCCAATTCCACCACCCGCTAGTTGTGTGTCCTTGGATAACCAGTGTAACCTCTCTGAGCCTCGGTTCCTTCATCTGTGGAGGAAGAATGGCAGTAATTCAGCTGACTCCCTGGGTCTGTTTTGACCATGAATTGAGACACTGTGTGTGGAAAGCATTGGCTGAGGGCTAAGTGTGCAGGGGGACTCCGAGCAACTCCATCCCTCCTGCTGAAACTCGGAGGCAGAATAAAAGTGATTTGTTTTGCCTTGCATGAGGGGTAGACCCCACCTTTGGGATCGTCTGAACCCTGCTCCCCAAAGACCCTAGACTAGCACTGACATTGTCTGCAAGCTGTTAGAAGTGCAAAAAATCATAGCCCCTGTCCCAGACCTACTGAGTCAGGATCTACATTATAACAAAATCCCTAGAGGGTGTGACAACAAATGTCAGTTTGAGATGTGCTGGTTTAGAGGGTTCTGGAGTCAGGCAGGTAGGTGACACCCACACTGTGGGCCGTGATGAGCAGCCAGTGGAGTTAAGGAGGAAAAGAACCTCCAGAGAAAGTGCACATGAGTGTGGTTGGTTCTCACTCTATACTCTGTGCAAAATTGTTACCCCAGTTTCCCAAATTCTGAAGAGATCACTTCTACGACCAGGGCTTGGGAACAGGAATATTTTTTAATTAATGTATTTAATATCTCTGAGTATGAACTATACATATAATACTGTGCTAGCCACTGAGGGGAAGAATAAGGATAAGACAGACGCAATCTGGGACCTTCTAGGAGCTCCGCACGTCTTTGGGGTGAACAGTGCAAAAACACGAAAGATAGTACAAGACCAAGTACTGAAATGACAGAGGCAGACAGGGGGTCCTAAGTATGGCAGGGCAAGCACTCAGTGAGGGCAGAAGCATGAGAATAAGGCATGAGCTCCACATGAGAGAATTCGACTGGGAACAGAGAAAGTGCTGAGGGAAAAATAGGATCTGCAGCGTGGAGGCATGCCACGTAGGGTTAGGGACCATAGGGTGGGGCTGGCCATGGAGACGCAAGTGTGGGGTTCGAGGCTGGCATCTCCCCAGGGGACCTTGACAGCTATGTCTGCAAAGATGCTTGTACACAGCTCCAGCCCCACCACACAGGCCATGACCCCTTCTTCCTCCAAGTGCACCCCTGGACGAGGCAACCTTCAGGCACCGCTGACAGAGCCTCCCTCTCTGAGTGTGCTAATACACAGCAGAAACTTCTGAGATGCCAATGGAACTGACTATGAGCTTACCCTTTAATTTTTTCTTTTTTTAGCTGTTGCTCAAGAGATTAAAGTGTATTTCCTAACTTATTCCAATCTATCTGGAATCACTCTTGACTACTTCGTGTATTAGATATGAACCTAAAACAGATTATTTGAATTCACACTCACTCTCATGCTTTGTGCTATTGTTATTCTTGCTTTAAACAGTTGACTTTAAAATATTAATGGAAAGGAATATATTTACCTACATATTTACCATTCCCAGTGTTCATCCTTACTTTCTAACTTCGGATTTCTATGTGGTTTCCATTTTTCTCTAGCCTGAGAATTTCTTTTCGTATTTTTTGAAGTGCAGGTGTAGTGATGACAATTTATCTCAGCATTCATCTGAAAGTGTCTTTATTTCATCCTCATTTTTGAAAGAAATTTTGTTGAACATAGAATTCTAATGTGACCTATTTTTCTTTCAACACTTTAAAAATGTTCTTCCATTGTCTTCTGGTGTCCATTGTTTCTGATGATGAGTCATTTATAATCCTTATTGTTGTTCCCCATTTACATAATGTGATTTCTTTTTTCCTGTGCTTTGCCTGTGACTACAATGTCCTTTGGTGTAATTTTCTTCATGTTTATCTAGCTTGGGGTTTGCTTGGCTTCCTACTGGCTTGTTTTTATTTTTTGGTCTAAGTCAAATGTGGAAAAATTTCTGTCATTATTTAATTTTTTTCAACCCTATTTTCTCTCTCCTCTCTTTGGGCACCAGTTATAGTTGTTAGATTGCTTGATATACCTTACAGGTTACTGAGGCTGTGTTCATTCTTTTAAGTCCTTTTTTCCTCTCTGTGCTTCAAATTGTATGATTTCTATTGCACCGTCTTCGGGTCCATTAATACTTTCTTTTGTTGTGTCCAATATGTTGTTAATTCCATCCAATGAATTTTTTTTTTTAACTTTTCAGATCTCCTGCCTTTCTGTCCTGTGATTTCCACTTGACATTTTTTTTTTTTTTTTTTGGTTTCCAGGTCCTTCCTGAGATTCTTCTTTTCTTCACCCATTATTTCTATCTTTTGTTTTAGATTTTTTAACATATTTGTAAGAGTTAAAGACTTGTACTAATTCCAGTATCTAGGTCATTTCTGAGTGTTTCTAATGATTGATTCTTCTTTTTACAATGGGTCATATACTCCTCTTTCTTTGCACATGGCTAGTAAATTTTTGCTGTACACTAGACATTGTTGTGCTACATTGTAGAGACTCTGGATTCTGTGATCTTTGAATGCTGTTGAGTTTTGTTCTAGCAGTCAGCTCAATTTGAACATGTGGAGGTTTGATTATTCATTTTTTATGGTTGATCTCTTTCTGATTTGCCCTTAGCCTTAGGGAAGATTCTTTATCCCAAGCACATAGTCTTTACTTTTAGATCATGACCCTTTTGGCGTCTCAGTGGAAAGATTGAAATGTTTACCAAGACCTCTAACTTGACAAGAGTCAAACTCCAAATTGACTCCCCTGCAATAGGCAGCAGCTGAAATATCTACTCCGCTCATTCAGCCTCCAGCTGGTCTTTTCCTCCTGAACTTCTTAGAGTCTTGCCCAAACATGTTTAGTTCAGGGGTCAGCCAAGTGTTTGAGGGGAGTTTATATGTCCTCTTCTGTGGCTCTCTCCTTTCTGGGATTTATCTCAATTTCCAGCTGCTCTAGCAGTCCCAAACTCCATCCCATGCCTCCCTGGGAGAATTGGTTTGCACTTTCCTGCTTAGGTTCTAGTGTCTCCATACCAAGAGAATTGGGGAGTTCCCTCAGAAGAAAAGTTATTTAAACTTGCATCATACCCAATATGGTTCCCTTCTTTCAAGAACTGAATCCCCTGCCTGCCTCTGCCTTCCTCTTGTTGCTTTCCAATGCCCTTATAAAGTCGTGTTTCTATTCAATAAATCTTTTGTTGAGAATTTCATTATTATTTTTTAGAGGAGTTAGCATGATGGAACCTACTCTGCTATTATTAGAACTATAACTTGTGGTTTCTTTACCAAATAGATGATGTATTTCATACTATTGCTGCATGACAGTTACTGCAAAATGTAGCTGCTTAACCAACAAACATGTGTTAACCAGCAGAGATAGTGGCTCAGGGTCACTCATAAGGTTGCTGTCAAGCTGTTGGCTGTGACTATAGTCTGAACACTTGACTGGCCTGGAGGATCCACTTCCAAGATGGGTCACTTATTTGGCTATTGGCTGGAGCCCTCCATTCCTTGCTGGCTGGTGGCAGAAGCCCTTCTTCCTTGATTCCTCACCATGTGCAGCTTTCCATAGGGTTCTTAGAGCATCACCATAACATGGTAGCCAACTTCCTTTTTTTTTTTTTTAAATTTTATTTATTTATTTGAGAAAGAGAGAGAGAGTGCGTGCACAAGCAATGGAGAGGATGAAGCAGGCTGCCGACCAAGCAGGGAGCCCGATGCGGGGCTCAATCCCAGAACCCTGGGATCATGACCTGAGCCGAAGGCAGACGCTTAACCAACTGAGCCACCCAGGCGCCGTTATTGGTAGCTAACTTCTTTCATTTAAGGTGATTCAAAGAGAGAGAAGGAAGAAGCAATGTTTATGACCTAGTCTTAAAAGTCATGTACCATTACTTCAGAGAAATGGATCATTAAGT